GCCGGCGCCGCCTGCGCGCAGGGCCCGCCCCCACCCGAAGCGCCGGCTCAGCGAGCTGCCCCACCTGCCGCAGTCACACGCCCAGAGAGCCCCCTGTCCCCATCCCTCCCGCTGGCAGGAGCCCAGCTCATTGGATTCTTGGGCGGTCCCATTCCTGTGACCCGCTTCTCAAATGAGAAAGCCTAGGGCACCTGGTAACTGGCCCAGGTAACCGACGACGTTGAACTCCAGGTTTGGGGACCCGAAACCTGCCTTCTTTCCACTGTCCCAGACACCCTCCTCTATCCCCCTACCCCAACCCACGTGTTCCACCCAGCTGGACACCATCCGGGCCCCCCAACTCAGGGCTTGGGGAGCTGCAGGCTCCAGGCACAGCGAGATGGGGGCTGGGTCTGGCTGAGTCCTGGGCAACCTTAGTCTCTTCTGCCATGATGGGATGGTAGCGAGCCACCCTCCTACCTTGTGGAGAGAGGGCAGCCTTTCAGGAATGTTCTGTGAATTGCGATGGCTGATGTTGGTGCTCCCAGCCTCCAGCTACAGAGAGTGTCTTGAAAGGAGAGAGGCAGCCTCCTGGGGAAAACCCACCGCCCTCCAGTGGGGACAGCCTGGAGCCCCAGATGCCAGTGGCAGCCCACCTAAACTGGGAGAACCTAGCAGGCCTGAAGGACCCAGGGTAATCCAAGAACAATTCCTTTTGTTGTTGTTGTTTTAAGGATTTATTAAATTCCAATTTTTTTTTTTGAGAGGTTTTTGCTATAGGACGCCTGCATTTGCCAGAGAGACAGAGAGATAGAAAGCAAGAAATCACCCCCCAGGGGGGACGGCCACATCACAATCTCTTCTCTCCCATTCTCCTCTCGGGATCTTGGGCATGCACACATGTGTACCTGGCGTGAGTTTAAGCCACCGAATCCAGGGCTCGAACTGCAGTTGGCTACATGGGAGTTCAGTGCCATAGCCATTACGCTAACTGCTGGTCCCATATTATTATTTTTTCAATTTGACCAGACAGAGACAGAGAAAGAAAGGGAAAATGAGAAAACAAGCAGCCATGTCTGGGACTTGAAACTCAGTTGGCCACATGGGAGTCTAGCGCCTTTAACCACCATGCCACCTGCCGGCCCACCAAGAGCCACTCTTCACTCCTGGCTGTCCGTGGCAGCCACTGTGCCCTGGGTACTTTGTGTGGGTCTCCACACCCTTGGTAGACCCTGTGTCAGCCCCTCCTTGGCTCATTTATTCCTGGGGACCAGGAGTCTTTGTCTTGTTCTCTCACTTCTTTGAGAAGATCACAGCCAAGCCACGCTGAACCAAAACAGACACCTGCTTCTGTGGAACTCCGTATGTCTTCCTCGGGTTCCCTGTGACTCACGGAATCACAGAGCCACCTCTGAGGGGCACTGCAGCCTGCCTGGCTCAGCAGGCTGGTGACGGGATGGGAGGCACCCAGGAGAGATGGCTTCCCCTTGGAACACTCTTGCCTTAACCAACCCCGTGGTCTCTCAGATTATTTGACTGACATTGCCTGGAGGAACTTTTCAGATAAGCTGACCCCACCCTTGTTAGGGCTGAATATAACTTGAACAGATGTCCCTTGTCCTGAAAGGCATTGATAAAGCCTGAAAAAAAAAAAAAAAAGCCTTCCATACCAAGAGGCCTGGGCAAGCTGGGAATTGCCCCGGGGCCTTTTCAATGTCTCCCCCGGGCTGCTGTATAGTGCTAGGGAGGGCTGGCTCCCCCCCCCCCCCCGAGGTTTTTGGCTTAGGGGCCGGGTCACCACAGGTATGTGCTCACCAGAGAGAGAAAGCAAAAAATCACCCTCCAGGGGGGATGGCCACTCTGTGCAATCCCTTCTCCTCCCGGGATGTTGAACATGCACACACACGCGCCCAGCAGGAGTTTCAAGTCACAGGGGGTCTGGGACTCGAACCGTGGTTGGCCTTGTGGGAGTCAGCTGTCTAATCGCTGTGCCATCTGCTGGCCCTGAGATCGCAGGCTTTTTATCTGCTCAGAAAAAGGCCCTTACTGCACGCCTGTCACATGCACCCATATACCATGGGCGTTTGAGGACAAGCGGGGTTGACACAGAAAATTGTAAGTTCCCAGGGATGCAGCTGGGCCTGGCGCTAGAACCCCACTGCGAAGGCAGTCACAAAAGAACACATTTATGAAGATGCTGTGAAGATAAAGACGAGGGAGGGGGGAAAAAGGGAGAGAATACTTCTTTTATTTTATAGTTTTTGCTACAGGGGGTGTGTGCTTGCCAGAGAGAGACGGGAGAGAGAGAGAAATTGCTCTCCAGGAGGATAGCCATCCCACAAACCCTTCTCCATTCTCCTCTGAGGATTTGGGGTACGCGTGCACGCACACACGCACACACACACAGACACACGCCCGGCGTATTTTTCAGTGTGTCAGTCCAGGACTCGAACTGCCTAGTCGGCCAGGTGGGACCCACAACATCATAGGCAGGTCCAACACTTTCCAATTTAGTCGAGAAGGCCAGATTACTCCAACATCAAACTCTATAAACACATCACAAGAAAAGAAAGCTACGGACCCATATTCCTTTTGAATGCAGATGCAGAATTTCTTTTAAATTTTGTCTTTTTTTTTTAATGGAACCAATGGTCAGTCATGTGGGAGTCCAGTCCCTTAACCACTACAATACCTGCTGGCCCCCAGATGCAGAATTTCTCAACAATATACTAGCAAATCAAACCCAGCAACATGCAAGAGGTATGCAGAGAAGTCCATGGGAAATGTGTATTATGAAAAAACTGCATGAGTTCAGAAAACTCTTGCATCGAAATAAACTGGTATTTTAAGACCATTTCTCCATGAACTCCTTGAAGTCCTCTGGCATAAAAATGACCAAGTTGGGGACCAAAAGTTGGCATAATGGCATGAAGTCCTTTAGTATAAAAACGACCAAGTCAGGTTCCAGCAGTTGGCATAATGGCTATGTCACTGACTCCCATGTAGTCAACCGAGGTTTGAGTCCCGGACCTGGTGGCTTAAACTCACACCAGGCGCGTGTGCGTGCGTGCCCAAG